TATTGAGCAAACTCTTCTGAGAGATCATCCAGTGTTTCTATGTGTATCATTTGTTTATAACGTATATTTAGGATAATATTAGAGTGCATAGTTAAAGTGCATAACTAAAGAATTCATTAGTTTCGAATGAAATTAATATATGCGAAAAATGCGTAGGAACACGTTCTATCAGAGCGACCTTAACCATTTTCTGCAAGGACGGACAGAGAGAGAGAGAGAGAGAGACGGACGACAGAGAATAGAAAGAGATAAAGATAGAGACAAGTGCACGTCACTGTCTCTGGCACCGACAACGTCACGGAGGCGCCTCTAATGACGTCAGTACCGTGTCGAATGAGATTAGGCTTGTTTGAAAGCTTTATTTGCTGCCCACGCATTCTCTATCTTTCTTATTTCTTCATTCTCTCCTGATAATAAAAGTTCACGTTAAAAAAAAGAGGTTCAAAGTTAATTAATTTCGCCAAATTTTCAAGATCAACATCATAAATTACGTCTAACAAGTAAAAATAGAAGGACAAACTATTCTCTGATAATTATATACATTCAAAATATTTTGTGTGGCCTAAAACATCTAGTCTTCTTTCATATAAGTCAGAGACGCTAAAAGATTGGACACCCTTGAATTCTAAAGGGAAATATAAAACTTCTTCGAAATTTCAAGCTATTTTTTCTTGTTCTTTTCGTTTGAGTATGGACGTAGTAGCATTGACCTACTGACAAGATAAATATATCCATCAAAGTTTTTTTTTAGATAGTCGATACTATGCAAAGTCTTTGGACTATGAACTAACAATTCGCTCTACATCTGTAGACGTACTTTTGAGTTATACTTGGAATAATATTCTTCCTTTGCGTATTATACAAAAAAAAAAAAGAAAAGTAAAAATACATAGAAATACGATTATTCATAAAATCCCGTTTTCCTTATTGTCAAGGAAACAAAAGAAGGGCAAAATACCTTAAAGATTTGAAGGTATGTTTCGCGATAGGCTGCTAGAACCCCCGTGCATATCCTCCTCACAGTTATTCTACACCAGTATTATCTATACATACAAGTATTATACATATGTACGACGCGACACGAAATGAAAAAGAACGGAACAAATAAACGAACGAACGAACGGACGAACGAACGAACGAACAAACGAACAAGAGAGAGAAAGAGAAAGAAATTCGTTGGCGGCGCGAGCATCCACGGCATAAATCGGCTGAAGGGAAAAGTTTTTGGGTGCGGAGAGTTAGCAGTCGGTATCTCGCACGGTGGTGGTAGTAGTGGTGGTGGTGGTGGTGGTGGTGGTGATGGTATGGTGATGGTGGTGGAGACGGTGGCGTCGTCGTCGTCGTCGTCGTCGTCGTCGTCGTCGTCGTCGCCGTCGACGTCGACGAACACGTATATACATAGGTGTTACATACGTAGATACGTAGGTAGTACGTACGGGGCCATATGTGTATGCGGTTTTATCTGGCGGTACTTGGGGATGTTGCGGGTTGATTTATCGCCTGTCGTTGCCATGGAAACCTCAGCGTGACCGGCTTGCGCGACACCCTCATATCCGAGTCGACTCTGCTTGCTTTCCTCTCTCTCTCATTCTAACTCACTGAGCTCTCTTTCTCTTTCTCTTTCTATTTCTCTCCCACGCGGGTGTATGCGCGCGCGCGCGTGCACCACCTTCTCCTCTCCTTCTCCTCTTCGCTATCATCGTCTCACGGTTTCTCTCACACTCTCCTATACACTTCGTATTTCGATCCTTCTCTCACCCAATTTTCATCTCTCTCCTTTCCTCCCTCCTCTACCTATTCTCTTTTTTTATCTCCTTCAAGCAAGCAAGCAAGCAAGCAAGCAAGCATACAACCCATCTCTCTTGCACCTTCCCTCTTCCTCATCCTCCACCCTCTTCACCCTGTACCTACTCCTCGTACTACTGCTACTACTCTTTCGTCTCTCTCTCTCTCTCTCTTACTCTGTTTGCCGTCCTTTCTTGTTACCCTCTCTTTCCGCTTTTACCTTTGTCCCTCTCTAACCTCATCACTATGACGTCTCGACGTACCTTCCCTATCTCTCTCTCTCTCTCTCTCTCTCTCTCTCTCTCTCTTTCTTTCTCTCGAGCTTACTTTAACTCCCCCACCTACAGATCTCATCCCCCTTTTGTAACTTCTATCTCTCTCGTTTCCTCGCTCGCCTATCTCACAGGAATTGTCCTTCTCTTTTCAATTCTCTCTCGCTTTCTCTCTCTTTAGGTTCGGAACTCTCTGCACCTTCTACTATACACTCTGTCTGCTCGTCCCTTCTCTCTCTTCCTCTCTTCTCTGCTCTACTCTTCTCTTTTCTTCTCCACTCAGTCAGTCTATCTTCTTCTCGTTTCCTTTTCTTCCTATTTTTTTCTCCCCCTTTCCCAACCCTTCCCATTCTCTCTCTCTCTCTCTCTCTCTCTTTTCCATCGACCTCTTGCTTCCTCCATTCCTCGTTGCCCATCCCATTCTACGCCACACTACCTCCTCTCCTTTCTCTTTTGTACTTCGACTCATAACCACCGTTGCTCGCTCTCCTTCGCTTTCCATCTTCTACTCCCTTGGGTTTTACTATTTTTTATTTTCTATCACTCTCTCTCTCTCACTCTCATTTACTCCCGTCCCTCAGCCCCTTACTCTTTCTTTTCCTCTTTTACTTTCTTTTATTTTCTTTTATTTTCTTTTATTTTCTTTTATTTCCTTTTATTTTCTCTTGTACTCTTTCTTTCTCGCTCTTTTATTTTTTTTCTTTCACTCTTTTTCTATTATTCTCTCTTACTTTCTCTATCTCTTTCTGTGATGCTTGCTCTTCATCATGGTCACCCACCCACTCCTCATTTTTTTTTCTCTTTCTCACTTTTCCATCTCTCCAATTCTACTCTCATCTTCCCTTCGATATGCAGCCCTTACCACTATCAGTCTCTACTCCTACGTAGAAGGTTGAAACCCCCCTGGAGAAACGTCAAGGAGCTGACTACTACCGGCACAAAATTCTCTTCAAAGAAAAACTTTTACGTACTTACCCCCTTCGCTCTATTTCTTTTTCACTTCCTATTCACCCACCATTCCTTTTTCTTCTTCTTCTTTTTTTTCTTCTTCTTCTTCTTCTCCTCCTCCTCCTCCTCCCCCCTTTTCTTCCTTCCTTCCTTTTTAGTTGTTCTGCAAAAGCCAAAAAGTTTCCAACGATCATCTAACACGTTCGCACTTTCCATTTTGTCCTTTTTCCCTTTTGAAAATCTTTCCTTTGTTTATAGTAATTGTTAACAAATTAATAACTTACGAAACTATAAATGTTACGTAACGTAATCGCAATATAAGATAACCTATTATTGACCTATCTACAGGCGAACCTATAATTACTTGGCTAATCAAAATTTGTCTCTTAATATTACTTAGTAATTTTATACAAATTATCTCTAATACTCCATGTCCTTTGATTTTTCTTTTTTCTTCTTTCTGACTATTAAAATCGATTAGTTGTAAGTATTATTAATTATCTTCGACAATATTGCGATGATAAGAAAATAATTAAAAGAATTGAAACTTACAATTGTTTAAAAAATATTAAACAATCGTTGATGGCATCGAAGAAACACCTAGGAAAAATTTGTATCAACCAAAACTTTCATTATCGACAGATTGTGTATGAAACGTACGAGATTATCTTTTTTACAGTTTGTATTATATCGAAGGTAGGTAAATGAAGTTTCTAATTTGTCGACAGTAGAAAGTTTGTTCACATGGTAAAACAACAAATACAGAAAATTTGAACAATTTCGAAGCAAACGATTGATATTGAAAACTATTTTTTAATCTAAATCAGAGAGGAAATAGTTTTTTTCAAAAATCGTTTGTTTCAAAAACATTGTTAAGTTGGACAATTCAACAACTGCTTTAAAAACAATGTTGAAACTTTGTGAGGAACAGACGCAAAGTGCAAAAAAAAGTGCAACAGGATGAATGAGAATCGATAATGATGGCAAAGAAAAGGGAACGACGACAAGGAGATGAAGAAAACAAATAAAAAAACATCATCAAGAAATCGAGCCACTGCAGTTTTTCAAGAGAGATAGCATAGCATTGTTCGAGAATGCACTTTTCATTGATACACTGAAAATTCGAAATAAATCAAAAATGTTCATAATGAACAAATTTCTACATAGTGGATAACCACAAACATTGTAAAAAGAAGGTTGAATTTTACACGGTTCTTTTTAATACTAGATTGCCCGAGACTTTGTATATACCTATATATACCGGAAATGAAGAGGGAGGTAGGGAAGATAACGAAAATGATTAAAAAACGCATTTATATGTTGTACAAAAAGTCAACACACACAATTCTCAAAAATGTTATCATTATATACATAGTTTTTTCAAAATGACTTGTATATATGAATGAACCGATTGGTATCGGTCGGTTTATACATAGAGACGTGCATACAAATTGAGCTATATAAATTGAAGCTGTGTTTGTATGCCTAGGCAAAATCGAAAGTAATCTCTTCCGATTAGAAGATCTATTCACATGTTAATCCTCGAGGTGACTCGTTATCGTCGAAACAATCCATTCTAATCTTCTAAGTCGAAAGACACGTTCGCGGTTTTTCCCTCTTTTTTTTTATTTATCCTGACAACTGCGTATCGGACATGCGTTTCAATTACTAATGTGAAATTTATGAATAAAATTAGAAAAAACATTGAAGAACAAAATCTACTCAAGTAGAGTTGGTTAATGCTCGTGCAGAGAATACTCGTATTCGTATTCACGTTCCCCATGAAAGAAAGAAATACCTTTCAATCTAAAAGTGTTCACAATCGCTAAAGACTATTACTCGATTCGATGTCACGAAGCTTGTCTTATCTTGTGGAAATAAAAACTAAATAAAAATGACAAGAAAAAACATTAATGATTTTTGTTTTCCTATAAATAAGCTGCCACCGACGCATCGTACTTATTAGAATTGTGTATTTACGGTTAAAGAATCTTTCTTATGTTAGTTTCTTGTCATGTCGCCATTTAAAAAAACAACTTTCCTTTTCTTCCTTTTCGTCGTCAGTACTATTTACTTTCAGGTAAAACTCTCACGATTATTATATCATTTAATCAGTATATTTATTTATTAATGATAAGTATTATATATTTAGTCAAATAAATTCATTAGAATATTTCTATTTTATAAGTCCATAAATTTAATAATCATTTTCAGAATGTCGAATCAACGATAGACATTTTTGGAATACTTGAAACACCTCGACGCATGTATTGTCAATTTAATTGCGTCGACATAAACACTTGGAATTTTATTTGGAATTCGTTGTGTTTAAAAATATGTCCCGAATTGGCATTGTTTGTAACTACTACAAGTCCACCAATGACAATGACAAGTTTTATACCGAAACAAGAAACTACAACGACGATATCTACAACTGCAATCACTTCGTCTAATACACCTTTGTCAAATCCATCGTCAAATCCTTCATCGAATGCAGGGCAGGCAACAACGGCAGCTTCTTCTTCTTCTTCTTCTTCTTCTTCTTCCTCGTCGACAGGTTCGACAACACAATCATCTTCTAGTGTAAGTGGTGCAAGTACGAGTACTACAATGATGATGGGTTAATAATTTGAATAATATTATTTTATTATATTGTTTATCATCTCATCAGAGAAATACAAGATGGCATTGCGTGTTCAAAATGATTTGATTATGATCAAATTTAAGTTCATATTTCTACTTTATAACATTTAATAATAACAGATGCACTTTTACCTGTGTAATTATTTCTTCTTTTTATATACTAACAATAAAAAAAAAAAGATTATTCCTTTTTCTCATAGTCTTCTTATAAAGTTATTTAATGTATATAATTATGCGTATTGCATCGTCCAGTTGAATCGTAACGTTGAACGTCTAAGTTGATAACGAACAACAACAACTAACGTGATAAACGACTAAAAAAAGAAAAGAAAAGAAAAGAAAAGAAAAGAAAAGAAAAGAAAAAAAAGTAAAATAAAGATTACGGTGGATCGACGTGTAGAAAAGGAGACCTTGCTCTCGTTGTGAAAGTTAACGTGTCGTGTACGAGCTATTACGAGAATCTTGTGCCCTCTCACTTTCTGCATACGTTTATGGGAAATTGATTATCGATGAATTACCATTTGCCGATCCTCGTAAAACTTAATTAACACTGATTACAAGAAAGACGGTAAGACAGGTTACTGTGTTAATGACCGATAAGTTTCGATTGTTTAACTCCACGTAAAAGTAACGTCTTCGTTGCCTTATATTATTAAGTTACTTAATATTATATGAAAAATAAATAATATATAGAACAAATACAATAGAAATAATAACAAATAGTATTAAAAAGGGAAAAGGGAAAAGAGAAAAGAGAAAAAACGATCACACTCTCTAACATAAGAGAGGTGCATCGAGATCTGCAAGATTGCGCAGAGAACGCGTGCGACGAAGCGAAAGTTGATCTTTGCTACAACAAGTCGGAATATGGTTCTTAGCAGAGATAGCCTACGATCAGGGTCGAGTTGTTGAAGTACTCGATGACCACCCTGTAATTCAGACAATATTATAGTTAGATATTATCGAAACGTGAGAAGAAAGAAGAAGAAACTTTATCTCGTTGTACTTGTACATTATTGTATTTTTTCAACTTACAATTAATTTGGAATAAAGCAATAATCCTGTTTTTTTTTTTTTTTACCTTAAAAAACAATAAAATACGACTATATAAATTTCACTTGAAAAATTGCTAAAATTAAGATCCACCTTTTTTCAATTGAATTATAAATAATGTTTTCACTTTCTATAATGAGAACACGAGTAACTATTACTCCAGCATTGTTCCGTATTAATTACAACGTTGACGAACGTTGACGAACAAAAATTGGATGAATACATGCTTACGCAGATACATAAGTACTTACGTATGTACCTGTAAGTATGTAAGTACTTTGGAGAAATTCTCTGGTTCGTCTTTTACAATCTCTTACGAAACAACGAGTTGAGCTCTCGCGTGTAGATTTATTAACAGAGAGGTAGGTAATTGTTGAAGAAAAAATCGTATCACGAGACCTGATCCGTCCTACTTACAAGAGACGCCTCTCTCCCTCTTTCGCCTCCCTCCCTCCCTCCCTCCCTCTCTCTTTCTCTTTCTCTTTCTCTTTCTCTCTCTCAATCTCTTTCACCAACTTATGCTTGATCGCCTTCTTCAAAAGACTCCTTTCTCTTCTTCTTCTTCTTCTTCTTCCTCTTCTTTTGCGCTGAAACAAATTTAGAATGAAGATTGATCAGTGGCAATTTTCTACAACAAAAGGAAACATATTGGTATCGTGTGTTATTTTATTACATTTTAAAAGATGATCCTACTTTTATTATATCAAACATACATAAAAAATATATATAAACCGATGTTTTCATTCTTCGGATAAATGATCAAAAAACAGAAATATGAAATAAAATATTGTTAATAATAATAATAATTTTTCTATTGGCTCTTTTTTTCTCTTTCTAATCATAGAAAGCTAGAATAGAGAAGGTATGATCTTCGATACTGCCACTTTCGGTTCTGCCATTCATGAAGGATATCGTTTTCAACGTGCTAAACGGACATACGTACCTAGGGATAGTCTTTCTTGTATCGACTTTCAAACGTGTCGCCTCTATTGGAAATAAAAATATCTATATAATGAAACAGAAAAAAAAGAAAAGAAAATAAAGTAAACAAAAAAAGCTACAGTTATTAAATTAATACGTTAAAAACATGAGACAGAGATAATGAAATGTAGAAAATAAAATTTGGGTCAGAAACGTATGAAATGCCAAGGTCTGATATCTTTTTTTTTCTTTTTTTTCTTTTTTTTCTTTTTTTTTTCTTTTATGTATGTATAAGAAGAAAATGCATTTCGTGTAAGTGTAATACTTTTTCTTCTTTCTTTTTCTCTTTGTACATATTATGCTGTAGGTGACTACAGGTGATCGAGTTTCGGATTCTGTAATCTGGATTTTGCAATAGGTGGGTGTAAGTACCTTGAGAATAAAGGAACACGGATTTAATATTGCACAACAATGCAGAAGGGCTTATCGGTTTCCGTTGTTCGCGTCTTGTTCAATAAAAGCATCAAATTACTATCGACCAAGTTTCCTTTCCTACAAAAAAAAAAATAAACTCTAACTTCTTTAATTGAAATAGATTCGAACAATTTTGTTCTATCCTTTAAAGAATTATATATAGTATAGTGTGGGAAAGAAAGAAAGAGATAAGGAATGGTTGCTTTGTCAGGATGTGTGCATCTAGCGCGAGGATGACGGAACAAGAGGCGACCGTTCGTTGTTTGTCGTCGAGCTATTGTTGTGTGTGAGCGTGTGTGGCGAAGAACAAGCATAAGCTTGTTGTATGACGCATGATGGCCGAGGGTGGGAGTAGAAGCATCCGGTGTGTGTTGTGTGGAGCGTGTGTAGCGAAGAACAAGCGCAAGCTTGTTGTATGACGTCATGATAGCCGAGGGTGGGAGTAGAAGTATCCGGTGTGAGTTGTGTGTGAGACTGATGACAACGGAAGGAAGGAAAGAACATTCAAAAAAAGGCGTTTTGGAAAATACCAGAAGGAACTGCGTTACTAAACGACGCAGTTGTTATGACAAGAAGAAGGGGAGAACGCAGAATAAAGCAGGGCCGAAGGAAGGGCGAGTTTCCGAGTTAGCGAGTTGGCGAGTTTGTGAGTTTTGATTAGTGAGAGCGAGTATAGAAGGAGATAGTAAGAATAAAGGGTAATAGTCGGAGCGATTTTTAAGTTAGCGAATCTTTGTAAGAACATTGTGAGAAAGCGCGTTAGAGAGTTTTGTTAAGTGTTACATTATTGTAATAAGTTGAAAATATATTGGTTAATTCTAGCAGCGGCAGTAACACGTGAGATTTACTATTCTTAACAGAATAAAACATAACCCAAGTCCCACAAAATTGGGGGCTCAGCCAGGATGGAGGGTCTGTTTCGTAACATGTTCCACAGTCTTACAACGCCACAAAAAGAAATTAAAGAGTCAAAGTAAAAGAGTAAAGAGAGTTGTGATGTTGGGTGGCATAACATTCGGAGTCAAATGTTGTTAAAAAGGGGGGGGGGGGGTTGGAATGTGGAACGAACGCCTCCATGCCAAACTTATCGGACATTCGTGAGAAGGATTGGTCGGTGGGCCCTGGATAGCTCAATTGATTAAAGAGCAGTCGCCCGGAAAGCAAAAGATCCGTGGTTCGAATTCCGGTTCCAGTCAGTCCAGCGGTCCAATTTTTTTCACGAATCCCACAATAGTGAAAATGTTTTCTCAATTGTATACAATCTTATTGATTATATAATAATTATAACGATTTAATGAAAAAGAAAAAGAAAAAAAACGCATTATGTCACTCGCGTATGCTCAAGTTAATACGTGCGCATGCGCTCGATCACCAGTGAAACCTGTTTAAAAAAAATCATTCCAAAGGAATTTCCGGAGCCGCCCCAATCAAGGTACACAAGATAAAATCTATCTACCATCACCAAAGGTAACTTATGTCAAAACCTTTTTAGGCTAATTTCTAATCTTTAAAATGGAACTAATTTAGGAAGAAATCTTTTGGTAGGAGGTTCAAACTCTTCTCACCAAACTTAAAACCAGAAGCTGTAAACTTAACTTTCGATAGTATTTTCTTTTTTATTATGCACTAATAAAATCCGTATTGAAACGCACGAATGAGTGCACGAATGAGCGCATTAAAGAACGGATTATGTACCCTCAAATTCTCTTGGATACGTTTAACCGGCTGTTAAATTTCTTTCATATCTGCTGTCTCTTTTTTCCTTTTTTTTCTTATCTTCTTTTTATATACTGATTTTTGAAAGTTACAACACTTTTGTTACGATTTATCAGACACTTCAAGTAATGGAACGAAATAAATTCCTGTAAATAAAAATATTATTTGTACTTTTTTGGTTAAAAGTTACATCTCATGTAATTACTCGGATGAACTTTAGACAAATTCAATAATACGAGTCATCTCTTTATAATGATGTAAATCATTTTGGAAATAATTATATAAAAATATATATTAAGTATCAAATTGATGATGAATTTAAATGAAGACATCTTGGAGCTTTGAAAATATTTGTAGTAATGGCTCAAGGTAGTAAAGGCTGACCGGTTAAAGACAATTCATTCCCGTTATTATACTTTCTATCGGAACCGTTCGACCATGTAATCTCAGCAAACCTTCATTTTCTTGCAACTAATGTACTTACGAATTAATACACAATATCTATCTTTGTTTCTCTTCAAAAGATTTATATGCCTTAGCACGAAAACAAAGGTAATCAAAAGTATTAGACAAAGATAGAGATCTTTTCTAGAAAGAAAGAAAGCAAGCAAGCAAGCAAGATAAGTTTAATAATTCATTTTCATTCATTCAACTACTCGGTAATAGCACTTTATTAATCACGTCGTAACTTTATTTTATTTCTGATACCCTCTTAAACTTTCTTACCTATTATCCACAGTTTAGATAATTTTACGATGCAATAAAAGCTTATTGTGATAAATGAGAAGCGTCAACAAGACGATAACACTTAACAATTATCCTATAATTATATCCAATTTAAAGGAGAATGTTGACGAATCCTCGAGACAAGGTAAATGTCAAGTCATGCTTGACAAAAGTGTATTAAAGAAAAATACATACGCGTGTTGTATATACACTACTAGGTAAAAGTAGGAAATATAAAGTATGGAAATACTGATTTCTATGAAAATCAGAAATATTGATTAAAATACTTTTTTCCATTTGACGCAACCCTCTTTACCCAAGCAAATATTTCCACTATCCCAACTGTGGATTCTATACGACTATATATGAGATTGTTAGGATTGCATCTTTTAAAAGCATTCATATTGAAACTTTTGGCCGGTAGTGTATCTGTGTATACTGACTTACGTAGGCGCACATGTAGTACGAAATTGTGAAGGGGGTGTAGAAAGAAAGAGAGAGAGAGAGAGAGAGAGAGAGAGAGAGTGAGAGAGAAAATATCACGAGGTTGTTTAACGAGCGTGTCCTTTTTAACCGAACAACTAAGCACGCTAACCATGGACCCTCTAGAAATAAATAGATCGATATTGGGCAAGAGATCGTAGCTCGGGGCTCTTCCATTTGCTTGATTTAAATTTAATCGATAGTTTAGTCAAATCGAAAGAAATCCGTAGAGATCTTTATCCATCTAGAAAGTCTTATTTAAATCTTTTTAAATGTCTTTTAACGTGTGAACCAATTAAAAGAAAGTCAATAGTTAACTCATCGCAGCTAATCTGTTTTTTACAATTTTTCTTATTTTATCCTTAGTAATATTGTGCGAGTTTCGTGAGAAAGATCTGTTATCTTTCTCGATAATATTCATTCACACCCTTTCACTGTAATTTTCATTTCGATACGTATATTATATTTTAGATAACTTCCGTTACTAGAAAGTAATGAGCTTTCACTTTCGATTATTTAAGATTGATATTATTTTGTTGATCAGTGAGTGAGTTGAAAAATGTTGATACTGATCACAATTTTGCTTAGAAATATTGAGCTAATAAAAAGCTATCATATTGTTTAATTGTTATATTTGTTATTGCAGCAAAAGCTTTGTCAATGTCCATCCAGTTATTTGAGATAATCGATGCTCAAATTGAGGGCAGCAGTCGTGTGGCGCTCGTTTAGAGAAAGGAAAGTAAAACGCGAACGGTAGCTACACGCCTTTTCCCTTCTTTTTTCTTCTTCTTCTTCTTTTTCTTCTTCTTCTTCTTCTTCTTCTTGCTCTTCCTCATCTTCCTCATCCCTTTCTCCTCCCTTTCTCCTCCTTTATTCATTCAACCGACTCCATTCTCATCTCGTACAAATTATGCACTTACTTACATACACTCACTTCCTCATGTAAATGTTCTTCTTTATCTACTTGAAAAGATTACTCGAGAAAAATTCATTTGTAAATGAATTCACTTGTCATGATTCCCATTCGTTTAGTATCCATCTAAGGATTCAAAACAGGTTTTCCTGTGTTCTTTTTAGTATTCAAATTGGAGAAAGAAAAAAAAAGAAGAAATGTATATACTTACTTTCAGTTTGGCAGTATATGTACAAAGTAAATGCTTGCATACAAAATATAATATATCCTTTCCATCTACCTGAGATAAACGAAATAGACCATTTGTAGAGACCATTTGTAGAGACCATTTGTAGAGACCATTTGTAGATATCCTCGTGCATACAATTTCTCTTGAAATTTGACCTTTTGATTAGAAACAACAAGAATAATTATTACAATTAATATGTGAAATAAAAATTTCAAGCAAGTTACTTTATTAGAAATGTATAACACAAAAGTACTTTCATGAGATTCATAAAAATAACTAAAACCTTGTTTATATACAATTATGGCTTAGCATAATAAATAAATAGACTTTGTAAATATATGAGTTACTTATCACTTATTTATAAAATAAGTAAAATATCCTTTTAAGGATTCGAAACTGGTTATTTTTTATTTGAAATGTTCGAAATGTAAAAAAGAAATAACAGGAAAATGAGAAAACTGTCAACTGAATAATGGAATATATTCATCAGAGATTCATAACCATACTTATACACAATTTTAATTGACTATGTATATAAAAAATATGTATGTATTATACTTACATACATATAAAGTATGTTCTCCCCACCTGAGTGAGATGAAAGGGGTAGACCAAGTGTAGACCACTATCGTCGTCTCTCCTACCTCTTCGAAATCTCGTCCAATTCGAACGAGGCAACTGTCGAGAAGGTTGCTTTTCGGGGGAGCCAGCACCAATGCTGAAAGAAGAAAACTGAGAAGAATAAGAAGAATGTCGAGTAGTCGTGTAAAGGAACAAGGAGTACACAACTATGCTATGAAGGCTTAGCTATTATAAACCGGTAACCGAGTTTAGCAACTTTCGAGTTAACTGGAATAACGCGTGACGGTCAGTAAATCGTCGACGGGAGTGAAAGAGACAACATAAGATACAACATAAGATATTTTATCCGCAAGCAAGTATCAAACTAGAGCTAGCCGAAAGGAAGCTAACAGTAGAAGCTAACAGTAGAGAAGCTAACAGTAGAAGTGAACAAGATACGTTCGACAAGTAAACGCATTTCTGACTCTGCTGCCTGCCTAGTGCTCGAATCCCTCAAGTGTTTCCACAGGATTCGAGCGATAAACACGCGAGTGTTATCATCCAAGTGTTATTTTTACTTTAATTTATTTCTTTTTTTTCTTTTTCTTTTCATTTTCTTTTCATCAACTTCTCCAAATATCTCGAACTTGCAAACGTGGATCACTCGGTGAAAGTTTAGCGCAATGTTCAAAGGGTGAGTTTCATATCTTCTTTCATATTTCTTGTCTTTTATTTTCTTTTATTTTCTTTTATTCTACCTCTATATGAGGTCATGTCAACTAGGATAAAGTAACTAGATAGCTAATTTGAAAAAACTACCGCAAAATTTGGGAATTTCATGAAACTTGGTTTATCTCTATCACGCGAGATGCAGCACGTTAACCTCCTTGACTACTACGTAAAGTGAAAGGAGAATCCGTTATGCATCGCATCGAGAAAATAATCCTTAATTTTAGTTTTCTAAAGACATGTCTCTTCTTCTATTTTAATGGTTTGTAAAATTTGCAATGGTTTTTAACAATTTGAATAAATGTTAAGAAAAAAATCATGTATAATTAAGGACACAGGAAAGATTTGCAAAGGAAAAAGAACACAAAATTAAGTATATCATTAGAAAACTAATTGCAAGACATTTTCCAATCTTTTATCTATCGAGGAAACGATGCAAGAAGAAGAATTTAACACGGAAGGTCCAGCTTCTACTCTCTTAAAGATTATGTCATAATCCGCAAGCACGTAAAATAGTCTGCGATATCAAATGGGAGGGAAGAACTTTCGTAATTCCATTACGATGCACCCTTATGCAACGAGGAAATGATTCTTGCTGCATCGTCCGTTTTTCGCTTACACGCTAAATGACTAACTTGTAAATGATTTTTATCGTGTTCAAATTAACGAATTACTTGTTTTCATTTGATCTTTAAGATAAGAAAATAAAAATACAAAAAACAAATTTCATTGAAATTTATAGAAGAAGGTGACTTTCACCTTCTATCTATTGGAATAAATAGTAATAAATTTAAAAAGAGAAAACAAAGAAATAAATAAAACTATTAGCATTAACTAACTATTAAACATTCATTTTTCAATAAAATACCCTTTCACCGGTGAAAGAAAATTCGCAGTTATAGTTTCTAATAAAATAATTATTAATAAAATAATCGACCGATCAAAAAAAAAAAAAAAAAATGTCGAGCAATAATTTAGAGAGAGAGAGAGAGAGAAAATAGAAGATATTAGTAGCGAAGCTCTTAATCACTGTCCGCCTACACGATAGTTGCATTGAATCAAAAGATGCTACAACAAGATAGTCAACTAAAGCTTACACTCACCATAGGCATCGACGTTTAAATCGCACGATCGTTTCTCCAACGTGCAACTAACAACGTGATCGAGACAAATTAATACTTTCATAATTCTTTACTTTAGTTGTACAAAATTGTCTCGAACATTGTTGATATTATTACAATATTTAACATTTTCTTTCATAAGGTCAATAGAAAAAAACTTTACCACGTTTAACAATATAAATTATTATTCATATGTCGTGTTAAGAAAAGAACAAAGAAAAAGAAAAAACAAGAAAAAAAATCAACGGAGAAAGTTAAACGGATATAAAAATATCGGTAGGAACAAAAAGCGCATCGTTTCCCGAACCTTTTCGCTTTCTTGCCATTTCCGATTTCTCGTATCTCGACGTGATCGGAATAACGTTTTGATCCGTGTGATTCGTTACGAGCTCTGATTTAAATCTTTCATCGATTGGAACAAAGAAATAGTCGAGAAGAAGAAATCGATCGAGCGAACAACGATCGATCGATCGATCGATCGATCGATTGACAACAATGATTAATCCATTGTTAGAATAAACGATTATTATTTCCTGTATTATATTGCATAAGTATTGAAACATTACATTGTTATTTAAACAAAAATACATAAACAGAAATATAATAAAATAAATGATACAAAATTGGTAATGTTTCTTTTTATGTTGTAGATTCGCGAGAACGCGGACCGCGGTAATAGGTGTAGTAGTAGTATTATTACTGATTGGGCTCAACGGCCATGATCACGTATGCGAAGGGTTACAATATCAACCCGTTGAAATTTATGAAAACAGCGACGAATGTGCTTTGATCCTGGATGGTCCTGGAAGGACCAGTGTTTTCGATTACACTTATAATTTACTTCGTGGAAATTTGTAAGTATTATTATTATTATTTCTTTCTTCTATCATACATTTCACACATGTATTTTATTCTATAAATAACTATAACACAAGAATATTTTATATGTTAAGAAGGAAACGATCGAGTTCCGTTGTGACTAAGTAAACGAAACATAAGACCCCGACTTTTACTTTCACTCTTGTATATACTAAAATACATTTATCGTCGATCGCCGATAATGTAGGGACAAAATATATTTATCTTTCGTATTTCATCTTTCCATTGACTTTCTCTGACACGAACTGCAACACCTGATAAACACAAACGATTTAATTAGTTGTAAAAAAAAGGAAAAAAAAGGAAAAAAAAAAGAGAAATAAAAATTAATTAGAAATTGAAATCTATCTACTATATAGTAGATAGATATGCTCAAGAGAAAACCAAGTAGAGAATAATTGATGAAAAAAAAATTAATTGCTACCACAAATGTGTCATGATGGCGGTGGTAATGGAGGTGGTGGTGGTGCCTTGCAAATACCTTCCATTTCTGTCTTTACGAACTCGATCGGCATGGAGTTTATAGTTTACTTGCATGAACGAACATAAGTACACTTTACTTACTTACGCACGAATGCCTGTTACGACAGTACAAGAGTATTACGTAAGAGAATTCTCAAAAATTATGTGCGTCTTATTGCAATGGATTTTGGTTCGTTCCAATTGAAAGAGAAAGAATTGAGTATTTTACGTATTTTACGTATTTTACGTATTATACGTATTATTTTACGGTTCGTTCTTCTTTTCCAAGGGTGTTCGCGCAAAAGAGAAACGTGTTTCTTGTCACTTTTTTTTTCTTTTTTTTTTTTTTATTATTATTACCTTACTTTTTCTTTTTTTAATATGAAAGTTCAAACAAACAACGTTTGTTTGACGTTGTTTATCGAAATATTGTTCAAGGTTAAATTTATATAACAGCATAGTCATATATACGATTAAAAAGTTGTATAATATAAGCAAATAGAAATGTTTTCCACGAAGGAAAAAAATAACAAACTCGATATGACCGAATACGCCGATAATGGTTGGTGGTATCTCTCGTCAAATGCGATAACTATGGGAGGGAGCATTGTACGTTTATTCCTGACATTTTCTTTCTCCCTTTGATCAACGTAAATATATACCATGGTACGAACGCACTTTTAACGAGTACTTTCTAGGCAATCTAAGCGAGATTGCATTCGGCATTGCCGAGAAGGACGCGAACTCGGAATTCCATTCGCAGAAATACATTCGAGTTAGGATCAACGATTCCTTAGTGTAAATCTTTCTAATAAGAATTTTTCCAATAAGTTCGATCCAAATAATCCCACGAGTATCTAATGTAAAATAACGCAATAAAAAATAGAAAAAATAGAAAAAAGTACAAATTGCAAAAAATGAAATTTAAAATAACGTTATAAAATAAGGGGCAATACAAGAGGAGTTGGTGGGTGATAGATACTTTTGTAGATACTTTATCTAGGCTATAGTCCGCCATGCGTGAACGTTTTCAAATCGAGTAATGCTTATGCAATTTTAAAACGAACTAACAAACTAGCTCTGAACGAGTATTCTTACATCCAGTATATTACCAATATAATTACAACATTTTTAATAATATAATCAAATCAAGATATTTTTTCTCTCTTTTATTTTCTTCCTATAAAATAGAGAAAGTATAACTCGAAAGTTTTTCTATTTCCAAAAAGAAACAAACAGAATGAATAACAGTTATTTATGTACATAGTAATAATAAGTAAAAATGCTACTACATGTATGTAAAAATAATCCGGGATAAAAGTGAGTCATGCACGAAGTCCGTCGAAACGCGGAAGAAATGGCGACTAGGATAATAAAGAAAGAACGGATCGGAAAGTAAACGGTTTTGTACACATATATAATATCTACGTAGATATGTGTAGAGTGCCACTGGGTCAACCTTCGATGGTAAAAGCCACGGGCGGTGGCGGCGGTGGCACGTCAATGCCACCACTATTTCGTACCTAGAAGAAACAGGATATGAGTCGATTCTCCGGATACTCTGCAAGATATAGTTTTGAGTTATCTCGATACAAGCTTTAATCTTTTCAGATGCAAGCTTTCGTGCCTGAACACGGTATTATATACATGTATTCATTTCTAAATTATTTTATACAAAAATTGTATATTTACAAATATATATATATATATATATATTTTATGCTTGCTTCTTTAATTGTTCCTGGTAAGAACTATCGACCTACCACCTAATACAGGTTCCATGAACACGTTTCTAAATGTAGTGTTTTAAAGAGAGATAAAGATAGTTGTAAACTAGGCTAGAACACGTTAGGTAATTAAGCCGGAGAGAAGGGAAACTGTAAATAATACTCTAAGAGTCAAAGATCGCAGTCTCTCGCACCTTCGTTTTGCATCCTCACTCACAAATAACTTTAAGTTACTTTCTTTTTTTTCTTTCTCTTAAATACTTATTTTGTTATTGTTATTCTATTCCTTTTTCATAGTCCACCTACTGCGGGATCGCAAACCTGTATCACATACGATGCAGTTAATCATGCCTATATAGAGGCGAGGAAACGCATCAGTAAGTAAGACGATTGCTATAATCATTATTCTCTCTGTTATAAAATCACTCAATCCCAGTCAAGAAGATTTTTTTTTTCATTTACAATTGAACCCGTTGATTTAAAACTCCATCACGCGGAACGACGCTTAAAGAATACTCGACATATTTTGCAAGATTGGCTAACAATATATTACTGCGCAACTTCATTGCGCGGCAATATAAAAGAATTAACAACAAAATCATCAAAAAAATAATATTTATAATATATAATTTCTTACATCAACTTACATCAATGATGATGATGAATAATTTAATTAATGTGTGTTGACAAACAGACGTCGCACAACCCAAAAACGAAATCTGGAGACCCGAAGATCTGGCTACGGTCGGTGAACTTTTACTGGACATATCCATTAATCTAGCCCAAACGTGAGTTACAAATGAACGAGATGAGTACTAACTGTAACTAAGAATGAGCTTATTAGTTAAACATGTCATGATTTAACAGGTACGGTCTGTCATTCGAGGAAATTGAGAAAAGTCTTCCATTGATTGACACATCGAAAACATTAATACGCGAAGTTTGTCCTGCTTTTCTAAGCAACGTCGAATGTAGACCAGGAAAATATCGAAGATACGATGGACTCTGTACAAATTTACAAAATCCAACATGGGGTTCGACTCTTTCACCGTTCACCAGGTAAAATTACTCATTTTTTTTTGTCTTTCTTTCATATCTTTGTCTCTTATTTTATTGAAATTATTTTGTTACTGTTGTTATTGTTAATTTTTAGATTGATGCCACCAAGATTCTCGGATGGTTTATCAGCACCTAGGATAGCAGTAAGTGGACGAGATTTACCATTGTCTAGAATAGTTTCACGTACTATGCATCCAGATGAGGGATATCATGACCACGCTGGTACTGTCATGGTGATAGCCTGGGGACAATTCATGGATCATGATTACACGCTAACTGGAACACCTTTAGGTAAGATACTTTCAAAACGTGTTTGTTTGTACGTTTGAAAAAGAAAGTCACTTTGTAAGATTACTGATCAATCGCGAGTTACGAGATGATGACAATGATGATTTAATAGCGTATATAATCAAGAAAATAAAATCTAAGAACATGTGACCTATATACTATAAGAATAGAAATGAAACGTAAGAAAATATTTCGATTATCGAATATCTAATCCGTAAGAATATTACGCAACTATCTGTTGGTGTTCCAATTAAACATTTCAAAATTTACCAGATGTGCGTGCATCAGTGTTGTAAATGTGTATGTGTGAATAACACACAAACTTATAAGTATCAAACCCTTCCATATTGAATACATATACCTTATACCGAAAGGAGGGTAACTACCAGAGAAAGCGAACGATCACAGTGACAAGATTATTCAACGAGGCCAATTGCTGTCTCTATTTCCATGCTTGTTTCCAAAAACATTACATACTTCGGCAAAGAATTATTTCGTTTTCAAATTTCTGCATAAAAATATGAAACAATAATATATAAATAATATATTAGAAAAATTATCTAATGAATTTATCTCTCTCTCTCTCTCTCACACACACACACACACACACACACACATACATTTTGCAGATCCTTTAAATCGTAATGACCCCGAAGAATGTTGTTCCCGTCCTCCACATTTGAAGAATCCTTACTGCAACGAAATTCGTATACCAGAAGATGACTACTTCTACAGATTATTTAACGTCCAATGTATGGACTTTGTACGAGCATTCCCAGCTGTTCGACCAGGTTGTCGTCTTGGATCACGTGTACCTTTTAACTTGCTTACTGGAGTTCTTGATGGAAACACTGTTTATGGAATTACAGAAAATTTCGCTAGGTAAATCAGATATATTTGACATAATAACACAAAATTCGAAGGATCTTGCAATTTCACAAACCGAATCACGATTGGTGATTAGTCAATGATTAACGTGTTCACTTCAATTGACTTTGTTGAGATTTTACACTACAGATCGGTTTACGGATAGACCAGGATACGGAATCAAAGTTTATTTATCCTTTAACTTATATATCCATTTAACATGTGTGCCTACATTCTGTTACGTCATTTACGATAATAAATCAGTATTACGTCGTTCCATATTTTCAAACGTTCCCCTTGTACTTTCTATCAGCAGATTCACATCATAGGATCCACTATTGCTCAATTTTGCCCGATTTAGTGATCCCACAATGACGTGCTCGAAAAAACTTCTTTAAACGCGAATCAAGTGATTCACTTTCACGAAAGAAATTAATATAGGATAATATCCTTTATATTTTTTTTTTTTTTTTTTTTTTTTTTTCTTTAGGAAACTGCGAAGTGGTTACGGTGGATTGTTAAGAATGAATCCAGTTTTCAACGAGTACGGATTGAAAGATTTATTACCATTGAAATTGGATATACCTGACGAAGGATGCACTCGTCCGAATAAGTCGATGTACTGTTTTGAAGCAGGTAAGATGTTTTAATCGAAATAAAATACAATAAAATAAAACAAAATGGAAAGATAAGTTTTTCTAAGAATTAATTAATAAAATTTTCATTGCCTCACTCACCTATATCAATTACGATGTAAATGTGATGTAATTAGAATTGTTTTCTTTCACACGAGCTGCTACCGCGCTCTCCTTGATCTATGATTAGGAAAGGTATGACGTGGGAAAATGTTATGGAAAATGAGTTACCGTTGGGGTTACTTCATTACAATAAAACTATGCGCTGCTTAATGGAAATTTCTCAACTAACTGTTCATGCTAGAATTGTAAAGATACCTTTCTTTAATCTCTCGCGATAATCTTATCTAAAATAATTCCCACAATTATACCATGTGACATAATACATACCAGGATAACGTAAAAGCTTTGTCTATTTTAATATCTGATTTGATTTTTCTATTTTAGGTGAAATTCGTGTCAACGAGCAACTGGTATTAACGTGCATGCACACATTAGTCGCTAGAGAGCACAACAGAATTGCGAAGGTACTCACTCGTATTAATCCCCATTGGGACGATGAGACGCTGTTTCAGGAATCAAGACGCATAGTCATCGCAGAAATTCAACATATCACTTATAATGAATTTTTACCAATCCTTTTGGGAAAAGACGTCATGGAAAAGTTTGGACTTCTTCTCGAGAAAAACGTAATGTTTTTTATTCTAACAACGCTTAATCGCATCATTCGGAATTTTGTAATAATTACAAAAATGAATTTATTTATTTATTTATTTTATTTTAGGGTTATTGGGATGGATACGATCCAACAGTAAATCCTGGTGTAATCGATGCATTCGCTGCTGCTGCATTCAGATTTGGACATTCTTTACTTCCCACTGCGGTTGAACGATGGAGCAAAGCTCACAAATTTATTGGTAAATTTTCAAATAATATAGATATTCATCGAAAAATATCTATTTAAAATTAATTCTAAATTAATCTTGATTATTTGTAAAGCTTCCAAAAGATTATCGGATCTAATCAGAAGACCGTACGACCTTTATCGTGCTGGAGTTTTAGACGAATACTTTATGGGACTGATGAATCAAGTTGCTCAAGCTATGGATGACTCTATAACTCAAGAAGTAACTTTCATTTTGTATCTACGATACAATTAAAATAAGAATAAGAAAATAAACTCAGTATTATTATGCAGGTAACTAACCATTTGTTTAAAAAAGTTGGTGCCAAATTTGGAATGGATTTGGTATCATTCAACATGCAACGTGGACGAGAATTTGGTATACCCAGTTACATGGATTTTCGGTAAGTATGCATAGAAAAATTGATTTTTAACGATTGATTTTTAATCATCTTTTTTTTTCCTTATAGAAAATACTGCGGATTACCTGAGGCTAATACTTTCGACGAATTGTTCGGATCCATGCCAAACGAGACTATTGGCCGCTACAGTTCAATTTTCGAGTCAGTATAAAAAAACTTTCTTTTAAATGAATTAAAAAAGGTAAAAAAGTAAAGAAGGTCTTGTGATAAAAATATTAAATGAACTTTTCAATTGATTTTTACTAAAAGACATCCAGCTGACGTTGATTTGTGGTCTGGTGGTGTATCGGAGCGACCACTTCCGGGTAGTATGCTTGGGCCAACCTTCGCCTGTATAATCGCTACGCAATTTAGCCATTCACGACGTGGTGACAGGTTTTGGTACGAGCTACCAAATCAACCAGCGTCCTTCACTCTCGGTACGATCCTTTCGAATCCTCTCGAGTTTCTTTATCCCCAAGGCCATTAGTTTAGTAGTACTATTCTAACAGAGTGCAATTCGCTTTCACTTTTCTAGATCAACTCAATGAGATTCGTAAGACGAAGTTGGCTAAAATGATATGCGACAACACAGACCTCATAGACACCATACAAATATATCCTATGGTTTTACCCGATCACGAAATGTAAGATTTCAGAATTTTTAGGGGGTAGTATATGAAAATAATGTTTGACATAAGAATGTTATTTATTTGTTCAGTATTTTTCAATATTTTTCTTCAATAATAATAAAATAAAGACAGCAGAAGTGCGTTAGGGTTACGTCAGAGTTTTTTTTTACTACAAAGACTGACACAAATTTTCTCAACATTTCGATGTCTAGCATTTATCCAGTAGATTATTTGGTGACACCAATTTGGTGCCACCAAACATTATAGTGTTCAAAATACTGACCTAACAAACAGCAACTAAAGCACGAGACATGAATTTTCTCGTGTACTAATTGAAATTCTTATGATGTTTTAATAGCAATCCACGAGTACCTTGCCGTAGTGGTGTATTACCAAGTATAGACCTGAGCAAATGGGCCGAGTATCCAACGAGCCACGCCACGCAATACGTGAGTAATCTAGCGCGACAGTACGGGCCGTTTGGGAAGTAAGAAAAGGGCTCATCCAAGTTCTATACTAGAAAATAATATTAAAACAATTAGAAAAAAAAATATATATATATAAATATATAAATACACCGGGAGATACTACATATTTAAACCACCATCACCACCACAATTACCACCACCATCACGTAGCATGCATCACGAGCCAGGACATCCTCCTAATCCAAGATACACTGCCTAGGCATGCACGCTGAAAAAAAACAACAAAAGCAACAAGAACAAGAATCATTAAAAAAAAAAAAAAAATGTAGACTTAAGACGATTATACAATCGTCATAGTCATCGCCTAATTAAAATGGGTATAATATTGCACTGTACCCATCCCCACTCCCTTTTGCATAAGTTTCCACGCTTATACGCACATATCAAATTTTTAGTACATTTTTTTTCTTACTTTGTTTCGTCTTTTATTGCACCTAGGTGCAGTCATAATCATATTTGTATTTTTAGTTTCTTTTTTTTTTTTGGAAATACCATGGTAATAATAATAATTATTTATTATATTTAATAAACGGCAGAAAATAATAATTATTCGACTGCAGAATAGATATGCACAATAGATATGCATAATAGAAAAAAAAAAAACCACATTTCATTAGATGTTCATATAATTTATAAGTTAATCGAAGTAAATGTTAGAGTGATAAAAAAACTTATTTAAAACGTCGGAATCGAGAGTGATAGTAAAATCAAAATTTATCATTAATACATAATACATAATGATCATCGCGTAGATATGCCTTAGAATTTAGTATTAATTTTGTTTTGTTGTTTAGATCCCGTAGAGGCGAAGACTTAATTTGCACGGTGCATAGCAAATCTAGTAAAATACATACAATATATTATACATATATTAATATCAATTAATAAGAATTGCACAAAAATGAACACACATATAAAAAAAAATATAATAGTAAACTTGAAACACTTTGTCATTCGATTTAAAAACATTCAAATATCTAATCATAGTATATCACGCATTTTTTCACGCAGTTATTGCTATGCACTTTAATTGCACTATAACTTCGTTTAAATGAAATACTTTGATAAGGGAATAAAAACTATTTACAGATAAAGACACACATATAGACATAAAAATAGACAAACTGATTCATTCATTCAATTCACCAAAAAACCAATCCATCCATTAATCTATCCATAAGTCCAATCAATTTTCCATCCGTTAATCAATTTTCCTAGATCTTCTACCACTCTTATTTACGCAGCATCACCATTGTCATCGGCACAAAGCTACAAATGTAAAAAAGAAAAACCTATTGTACTGTAGCGTTTGGTGGAGGAACGTTTGCTTGACGTGCCGGGACGTCCGGTGAATGCGGACACGGTACGGGACCACTACGAGAAACAGGACGCTTTGCGAATCTTCTTTGAGAGTATTAACGGCATTGCTTCGTATCTGGGCATCACGAGAAAGTAATGCGCGCGCGCACAAGCACACCAGAGTCCATCGGTCCGTCCATCTTCTGATATCATTTTCGCAAAAGAAAAGAAAAAAAATAATAAACTTCGATATATATATATATATATATATATGTTTATATATTTAACTGCATATACATGCATGCATCATACATACTTACATTTGTTCTGACGCCTTCTTTTTTAACATTTAATTAGACTGATATTTAATATACATCTTTAAATAAATAATATAAATGAATCTTCGCGCGCGCGATTGTATATAAAAAATATATACATATATATATATATACACACACACACATGATATGAGAGTGTAAACTTGATGTCACAAAACATTTAAAGTAAAATGTATTTTGGAATGAAATAATGATTCATTTGCCGTGCCAACTGAAAACGCGATTGCATAGCGAAGTGCATAGCACTTGATTACGATAAGTTTTTTTTTAGCTGTCTAAGGTATTACGTCGTAAAATGCATTATGTAAATAACGCCCTTGCAATGACACAGAAAGGTACGTGAAGGAAATTAAGATAAATGAATAGAAAAAAACAACAAAACAAAGATAAATAATAAATCGATCGTTTCTGCGCCACTGCACTGTGTAGCTCTCATCGTAGTTATTAATTATTATATTACTATACATGATCTATACGTATACTTTGTACATATTAACGAGCATCAAAAAATAAAGTCACTTTGATAACAGTGCCATTAAAAAATAACGAATATGCCTATCATCCTTATTTCATGAAAAATATCCAGTACCTTTGCAGATTTATTGCACAGTAGTAGATTTGGTTCGCAATATTATCATTAATGGTAACCCATAGCCCAATTTAATACGTAAAACTTCCATCATCAATTTCAGCATCATCATCATCAACAATCTCGCAAACCTAATCGAGATGTGAAATATGTTCTACCTAATAAACGCTACGCGAAATTATTCAATCCCAATTTGATAAAGATTATAAAAAGAAAAGATGAAAACGTAAAAAATAGATATACACCTTTATTATGGAGAAGACACGTTAAAAAAGTATCTACAATTGACGTTTTATCACTTAACATAAAAAATAACATGATACTTATCGATGATAATGAATTCAAGCAATCTTCTGACAATGACGCAATCAAAATTAGCAGCATCATCGAGAAAATGATACAAAAGAATAGAGGAATGAAAAACGCGCGTAAAAGGAACCGATTATTCAGAAAAATAAATAGAAGTATGACGAATAAACGATTAAAACGTTCCACCAATGAAAATAGTACAAAATCATCGGAAGAAATGAAAAATAATTTCAAACTGTATCGACATCCTAAATTCATTCAGGAGGATAAGAAATCGAAAATAACTGATACGAATGTAAACGTTTATACGGATTTTTACAAACGCATATGGGAGATAATTAACGGTACACGTCCAACTTTCAAGATCGTGGTACCGTCTACGCCTACGAGAACACACAGAGAGATATTCAAGGATAAATACGTTACGTCTGGCTCGGAAGTAGAAGACTTAAATTTTCCTTATAACGAGACTGGGTCTTTGAACGAAAAGAACAAATTATTTATTGGAGTACCTCCTTTCGATGAGAGAAGACCTTCGGAAGAGGATGAATTTGATAAATACGTTAAAGTGGTCATGGAAAATGTCGATAATTGTTCAACGTTAAAGCCAATTGTTGAATCCAAAAGTGAAAAGATTATTAACAATCCTGATGAAATATACGTTGATTCTAAGGAGACCAAAGATTTGAGTGAAAATAAAAAATCGTTTGTTTTCTTGAGAGAATCAACAATGAAACCATTTGTTGAATCGAAAATTTCCAAGCCTGATGCAGTGTCTTATATTGATTCTAAAGAAACTGAAGATTTAAATGAAAATAAATTTACAGAAAAGTATTCTTTTTCTTCTATGCCTGTTGAACAATTGGATAACAACAACAACAACAACAACAACAAACTAGTCTCTCCAATTCCTGATTATGATCCAGACAAAATTCCATACGTCGAGATACCTGATTATTCAGATGAGAGAGAAGAAAGTCTAGACAAAGAAGACCGTCGACGAGCTAAAGAAAAATATATAGATCCCAAAAATTCTTCGAATATATCAAACGATGACGCGAAAAAAAAAACTACGTTGGGTAACGAATATTCCGAGAACAATAACAATGAAGATGCTAATAAAGATCAAAGTATTTTAACGCGTGGTGCTGCAAAAAATATTAAATTATCGGAAACATCTAATCACGCAAAGAAAAATTTCCTTAATCATCTTAAGAAGAAGAATAATGAGAATGTTAAGAGTCAATCGGAAGTAAGGAAAAATCCGGATGAAGGATTCGTTCTACCGGAAATTCAATTTGACATTGATGAGTATAATAAACCTTTCGACTTGGATGAGTTTTTAAAAAGCGAAACATTTTTTCAACAATTTAAAACAAACAAAAATAATAATAATAATAATAATAATAATAAGAGAGAGAATGGTAAAGAATTAGTGGACGATGCTAAAAGTAATTATTCTTCTATGTCGAAAGATTCAACTAGAGAAGATTTAGTTGACGCTGATAAATGGGAACCTCGATATGAGCGTGCAAGTGAAAATTCTCACAAAGATCATATAAAACTTGATTATATGAAGGATCAAAAAAAAACTGATGAAATGATCAACGAAGAAAAAGATTTTCTCGACCGTTATTTTAGCAAAGATGTTATCGATCAATTAGAAGAAGATTCGGAGGAGGAACTTTGTGAAGAAACTAAAAAAAAGAAGGAAGAAGAGAAGAAAAAGAAAACCTTAAAAACATTGTCTACGATTCTTGACAAAAAGGATCGAATTTCGAGATTGGACGAGGAAGTGAATAAAGAAATCGAGGACGATGGAAAAAAGGTTCCCTCCGTTTATAAGAATTATTGGTCTCTAGAGTACGAGCTACCTGGTATGAAGGATATAAAAAGAGATGAAGAAAATATAAACTAAGAAGATTGAAAGCAGGAGGAAGAGAGAATTATATATCACTTTACTGCAATAGTAGTAGAATCTAATAAGATTCTATATACAAAATTATGAACAATATTTCTAGTATGTAATTATATAATATATTACTCTCTTATGTTGGTACATTCCTTCAATTTTTTCACCTGTTATATTTTCACCCACACACACACACACACACACACATTTACGAAAACTGCTATATGTATAAAAACAAAATAAACGTTAAATAAAATTAATATTATTTACAATACAAGTACTGTATAGTTAATTTTATTTTTATATTGAATCCATGTTGAAAAATACTGACTGAACAATAAATAGAAGAAACAAATTCGAAGAATGTGCATCTGTTGTATTTTAACCTACACCGACAAATTGATATATACAATATAATAAATATTAAATAATATAAATATTTATTATCTATAACGTAGGCAGACATTTAATTTTACATTCATCTTAAAACTAGCAAGGGTAAAACCTAGACTAATAAGTAATCAGATTAAACAAAGAAAAGAAACAAATTCTAGGATATCCTAGTAATCAAATAAACAAGGATATTTAGGGAAATCATATCAGAAGAACACAGGATGCGCCGAGAGTGCAGGAAATTAAATAAACGAAGAAGAAAGAGAGAGAGAGAGAGAGAGAGGAGAAGAGAAGAAGAGAGAGGAAAGGAGGATAAGAAAAAGAAGTCGATGAATGAAATAAGATAAAGCAGCAGGGGTGAATTTAGTGACTCTACGGATATATAAAGTCTCTCGACGAACTCTCATCAGTGTCATTCGTCTGGTTTTAACAATTATAGTAGCTTCGTCGTTCGTACTTATATAAAAGGAAAGAATCAGGCAAGTACGGCTTACCGATTTGTTTCTTTGTCTTCTTAACTCTTGCGTCCTTACCGATCATTTCAAAAAACTACTTCTCTTTGAGTATTGCAAAAAGATAGAAAGAGGAAGAAAAAGAGAAAGAGTGAGAAAAACAGAAAAAGTGTCCATATTTATAACTTTGGTACGTTCACAGTTTGTTCAATAAGGAGAACGCGGAAGAAACAGATTCCGGTTATAAATGTCATCTATATATATATATATATGAGCAACCAATACGAGTATGATGAATCCATTCATATATGTATATACATTCGTGTACGTTGTCCGATTATATTATAGTAAAACAGAAGAGTCTTCAGTTTTTGAAGAGATAGTCAGGACAATAAAGTTCAATCAAAAATTACTGATACCGAAATTCTAAAAAAAAAGAAAAAAAAAAAATTATACAAACCGCGATGGATTTTTAAGTATGTATCTTAATATTCTATAGTTTTATTCGTCCCGAGGCAAATCTTGTGATTACATCACTAGTACCACTAAAAATCATCCCTCTCTCTTTTTTTCATCCTTTCTTTCTCTTTTATTTTCTTTTTTTCTCTCGATCTGAGTTATAAGAGAGACTAATACTGAAAAGACCCAAAACTGACGTTTATAAAGGCTAATTTGTATCAGGTATTTACATTACTGTCTCTGTTAAATAACGATTAGAATCTACGATAGATTACAATGCAGAATACAACACATATTGGAAATAATTTGTGACGTCGCTCTCGTCTTTACGCGCGTTAAAATCTCCGCGTTGCGCGTTCCACTCATAATCGATAAAAGCATGAATGTGTATTTACTAATGAAAGTTAATTGTAAGATACGATATGTTAAAGAAAAATAGAGAAATGAAATTAATTCATGTAGAATGAATCATTCTTCAAGTAATTTAAATAAATTATAGGACTAACTTCAAAGTTAATTCGTAGTAAATTATCTGAGTAATATTTATAGATGAAAACTTATGTAACTTGCTATTCACATCAGTTAATTTTGTTTAATGACGATTTTAACGTTCAGAGAAAAATAATACAAATTATACGCATCTATTTGCAGCTATGAACTTACGCTTCACTCTCCTCGTCATTGTTTCTGTCACAATGTTGGGCATAGTGATGGCTCAATCGAAAGACTGGTTCGGTAAGTCCTTACATATTCTTAAAACAAAATTTCTGTTTATATCCTCTTAACAAAATTCTTATCAATATGCTATTGCTTTTCTATCTTCTTACTTTTCATTACTTTACATGAAACGACAAGAACTGAAAACTAAAATAATAGATTAATTTATCAGTGTCTGTTTGATTAAATATTTGTAACTCATCAAAGTTTATATAATTATATAGAAACGATAAAAAAAAAGAAAAAAAAGAAAATCATGATCACAATATACTCGCCGTAAATGTTTAAACTCTTTCTTATTGTCATATTGTATGCACAGGTGTCTGCATAAGAAACTGCGCTCAGTGCAAACGAATGTTCGGGTCGTGGTTTGCCGGTGAAAGGTGTGCAAACGCGTGTATCAAATTCAAAGGGAAATTCACTCCAGACTGCATCGATGCGAATTCTATCGCTCCATTCCTCAAAAAAGCTGACGAGGATGATTAAACATGATGCTGGACCTGTATATACACCTACTTACTACTTAACAAGATAATGTGCAACAATTTATTTTAACGATAATCCATCCTCGTAATTTGTTTTTCTTTACACTAGTTCTAACGCGTATATGAGATTATTATTAATCAACGATCTCTTAGATGGATGAATGAGAATATACTTCTTTGTTAGTTACTTTTATTAACGCGCATAGAAGAAAACATATTCCGTGCGCGTGTTACAATCTAGTCACGTGTGTTCCACGACAACCCCATGAATGAAAGAAAGTTCTTAACTTAAACTCTTAATTTGCTTTGATGCTCGTAAGTTAAATTCTTAAGATGTGTATGTATTATTTACATTCGCCTGCGCGCGCCTTCGTGTACAAATATATAAATTAATTATTCTCATGATTATATATACATGTTGTATTATTTATATCTAAATATTACGTTTTAAAACGTACTATATGTAAAATAAATTATTAATCAAGACAAATATTATCACTGTGAAATATTAAAACATCATACTACTTTCATTCCAAGTTAGGCACAGTTACGTAGCATTCTGGTATCGGTGACAAAGTTTGTTTCGATTCTAGTTGTTGAAGCTGAAACAAAATATCAACAACATTTTATTATTATAAGCAAATTTTAATTTATTTTAATTATTATTTTTGGAAACTTAATTTACGCGTTGACGAAGAGTTTTTTCGTTTAAGGCTGCCCTCGTTAACAATTGTTTTACTTTTTCCAAGAGCTCTGATTTATGAGTCAATTGTTGTTTTAAGATATTAATCTCGCTATTGTCATTCTCTTTATGCGCTTTCTCCAACATTGTTATTCTTTGCTCGGCAAGTTGTAAATCTGTTTCTAAGTCTATCACTCTCTTTTGAGATTCCTCGTACAATTTTTCGTAAGGATATTCATTCTCGTTACAAACTTTCTTTCCCTATTAACAATTTTTCCCGATAAATTCCTAAATATATGCAAATAATATTTATTTCTATGTTTTTTCTTGTACGTACTTGAAGAGGTACAAAATAAGTTTTTTTTGAATTAAATCTCAATTTTTTGTTCTCAACTTGTAACTTTTCAATGATTCTTTTTAACGTGAAGATTGTTTTCTCTAGTTCTAACACAGGTTTTTTAGTATTCAATTCCTGATGGTCCTTGTTCGATAATCTAGGGCTGGAATCCGATGATTTTTCTACTTTCAACAAGTCAATGTATCTGTGGTACAAAAGTAAATAATTAATATTACTACAATCATAAAACTAACAACAGTCAAATATTTCACCTCTCGAGATGTTCGACTTTTTCTCGCAAATGTGGCGTATCCGTTCTAGCCTTTTCTATTTCTAATCGTAATTCGAAATTCTCACTTTCCAATTTAAGATTAGCTCGTTCTAGAGCATCCCTAGTCATTTCTAGTTTTTGCAATTTTTCTACTACGTACTCGTTACCCTAGTGAAAACTTCATTTTATTCTAAATACTTATTACACAATCATGAAAAATTTACTAAGAATGAAGAGTTACCTTTGTAACAACTTCTAACGAAGCTATACAATTCTTCTGTTCATCTATTTTCGTTAATAATTCATGATTATTTTCCTTTTCCAATCGTTCAGTCAATTCACTGATACGTTCTCTCAATGTTTGACATTCCTTTTGTAAATCGATGATAAGACTTTGATGCGCAGCTGAGATCGGTCTACTCGGTAAATCATTCAGCACCTGTTGTGGAACCACCTCCTCTTTGATTTTACTCTTCAAAAACCATTTCTCACGTTCCATGCAAGAAACCAGCGCTCGTAATTTTTCGTAGTTCGAATTTAATTTGATATACTCGTTTGTTTTCTCTTTCAACTTTTCTTGCAATTTTTCTGCAGTTTGTTGCCACTTCTTTTGCTTTTCCCATAATGAAAGTTCCTTTGCTGTCTACGAAAAAAGAATAAAAAATGAAAAAAAAAAAATTTTTTAATTTATTTTAATTATACCTTTGCTTTTCTAGTTTCTTGGGCCAAGTATTCTTTCTCTAATTGAGTTCGCATTTTTTCTAATTCTTCCTCCAAAGATTTAACCTTCCTTTCCAATTGCATCTCCCGCTGAGACGTTTTTTTCTCTTGCGTTTTTACCGCCATATATCTGTTAAAACAAAAACAAAAAAACAGGATATCATAATTAAATCAATTCATTTGTTATACCTTATTAAATTGATCGTTAATTACGTATTGAAAATTATCACGATACCCCCGACTGACTCGTTGTTTTAGTTCAGCAATTTCATGCTTATACATCTTTTCTTTTTCCATTAAAGATTGTAATTGTTTACGCAAAAGATCCATTTGATTCTGCGATTGAGGTTGATCACGTTGAATACTAGGAATACTTTCGTGAATTCTAAGTTCGTCACGATGATCGATCACACGTGCTGGCAGTGATCGATTCGTGGCTTCCAACAATTCGATTTCATTCTACATATAATATACTAAATTATATATATATTTATTCTTAAGTGAAATGAAAAGAAAAAATGGTTAAAAAAAACTTAACGATACCTGCAATTGTTGACAATTTAAACTGAGCTCGTGTATTTTGTCATCTTTTTCTTGCAATTCTTTCATAAGAGATATATTTCCTTTTGTATGAACAACACGATTTTCTGACAATCGTTGTCTCAGGATATCAGCTTCTGATTGCCATTTGATAATCTCATTACGATAACTTTCAAGTTCTGTATTATGCTGCTCCTCGAGTCTACTCTTGAAAATATGAATAATTCGTATTACAAATAAGATATTAGACTATATATTAGTAACATCACTCTAGATCATATATATATATATATATAATTATATCATTGTTTTCCTACCTTTCTCTAATACGATCAATATGTTTAAGTCTCTCTTCTGCCAATCTATGCCAACGACCGCTCAATTCTTTTGTAATATGCAAATCAGCTTCCAAAGTATTTATTCTTTCTCTCAATCTTGCGATTTCTTCCTCTCGTGCTGCATTGTAAGCAGTAACAGGTTTTTCAACCTCTTTTTCTTCGTCAAGTTCTATTATAATATTTTGTTCCTTTTCCTCAATATTAACATGACTTTGCATCGTTTGAATTTTATCCTGCAAATCTTTGATTTCCTTTTGAAAACAACTCGAAGATTCAATATATTCTTCTCTTTCTTCCTTCATAAGATTCTGGTATCTCACTATTGTCTCCTCTTTTTGTGCCACAATTTTTTGTAAACTGTTCACTGTAGATTTCAATGCCAACTTGTCGCTACAATCCATACTCGACATATGAACTTCAAGTTTAGGTTCTTCCATATTAATTTCCTTTTGTAAAAGTTGAAACTCTTTTTCTTGAATCTTTTTATTAAGAGCATCTATTTTTGCTTGATAATCTGACAATTGTGATTCATATTTAACTATAATTTCTGAACGATCTGCTACGAGTTTCAATGCATTGGTTAAACGTTCGTTCAGTTGGGCTATCGAATTACCATTTTCCTCTGTATTGTTACCTACTTCGCGAACAAATTTGTTTTTCGGAATATTATTAACGATATCTGTTTGTTTATTCAAACAACAATCGTAAGGTTCAGTTTGAATCTCTATCGAATTGAGTTCTACCGAAACTTGAACGAAAACTGACCGCGTTTTTATCAAATCAGATTGAATTTCTTTTATTTGTACATCAGTAGATATTTGTTGCTCTCTTGGATAAGTCCAAGTCTTTTGCATATTAATCATTTCATTTTCCATATTTGTAATTATTGATTCATATTTTACAATTTTATCATAAGCCATTTGCAATTCATTATCCAAATGAGATATTCTTCGTTTTTGTTTCAAATCCTAATAAAATAAAATAAAATAAAATAATCAAATGTAATTGATTCTTTCTCTCTACACTAAATTTTTATTATAAATAATAATCGTAAGAAAAGAAATAAGAACATACATTTAATACGTATTGAGAATTTTCTGCGAATTGTTGCAAAATATCTTGCATACTCTCACCGCCAATTTGTTCCTCCAATATATCTTTCAAACGTTCGACTATCTCTAACCGATTTGTTAACGTTTCTTGTTGAGAAACCACTCGATTACTATACTCCTTTGCCTTCTTCATTTCAATATCTAATTCTATTTGATCTTTTTTTAATTTCTTAGCTGTAGAAGCGACTCTATCGAGAGCACTTAAAGAAGAAGATCCTGCATATTGACTTTGCAAAAAATCTATTATGTCGATATAAATTCTGTAACAATATAATATTTTGTACATTTCTAAAAGAATATCTATAATTTGTCTACACTTTAATTACCTGCAACGATCGTCGCATTGTTTTCTACAATACTGCATGTTGGTTCTCATTTTATCAGAGTGTATCATCAATTTCTCATGTTCATCTTGCAAATAAGATATTTCACTTTCAAGTTGAGACTTTCGCGCATTTAATTCCATTTCAGTACTTTTCTTACTAGCTAATTCAAAATTAAGTCTCGATATCGTAGCCTTGTCTTCGCTAACCGCTTGCAAATCCAAAATCTGATGTCTCAAATTATCTAACTCTAATGTTTTTAACGAATTTACCATGTACTGCAATTTACTCTCTTCTTCAGCAACTTCAAGCTTTCTTTTTAATGTATCATTGTCGATTCTCAAAGTTTTTATATCATTCAACAATTCTGATTCATCTAGATGATATTGTTGTTGATAATTTTGTAAAGAAATAATTTTAGATAATTTTTTATGAACATCAATTAATTTCTCTTGTAATTCACAATTCATGGTCGTGATCTCTTTAACTTTGTCTTCACATTTTGTTAACTGACTTTGAGATATTTCATGAAGTTTGGTCATGTGATCGGCACGCTGTCTTTCCATTAATTCTTTTGTTTTGTAATCTTTTAATTTTTCAACTATATCATTTGTATCTTCTTTAGAAATCTCTTCCTTAAACAAATCTAATAATTGAGATTTTTCTTTTTTCGCTAAATCTAATTCGTCTTTTAATAATTCAATTTCATTTGTATCTTCGAAAATCGTATTTTTTTCAAGAATAAAACGATATCTTATATTTAATTCGTCGTATTTTTCTTTAAGATCACTATATTCTGTAATACTTACGGAATTAGATAAATTACTTTGCAGTCTTATTGTCTCACACTCTAATATTTTATTATGCTTATTGGCATCAGCCAATGCTCTTTTAAAAGAACTTTCTTTTTCGACAGTATTTTTCTGATAATTATATGTTTTTATAGATTCATTGTTAAGAAGTTCTTGCAAAAGTACTATTTTTCTTTTAACCAGTAATAATTCACTAGCAACTTCTATATACTCTTTACTTTTAATTGCAAAAGCTTTTTTTATTTCATCTTCATCACTTTCAAAGACTTCCCGATCTTTCTCATAAATTTCTAATTGAAGATTTAAACTATCTATCGTATCCTGCAAATCTTTCTTTTCTTTTATCAATGATTCATTTTCTTTATCTCTTTTCTCTATTTCCCTTTGATGAATACTTTCCATATTTTTGATTTCTGAAGTGTACATTATTTCCTCATTGTCAGAATCTTGGATTTTCGATTTTTCTAAGACTACACCTTTATTCAATGCCAAATCTTGCAATATAGCATCCTTTCTATTAAGTTCTTTCCTATTAAATATTTTTTTTTTTTTTTTTTTTTTTTTTTTTTACATATATACATGATTCAGAATCAATATTAAGAAAAAAATCAAAAATTACCTCATTTGTTTAAGTTGAGATCTTAATTCCGCATTACTACCTTGTATAACATTTAAATTTTCTTGCAATCTCATAGCAGGATGATACCAACCAGCTAAGTGTCTGACATCTAATGCTTCCAATAATCTTTCCAAAGTATATGAATGCACTTCTACTATACTTTTTCCTATAATATAATTTCAATCATTTTAACTTTTAAATTATGAAATATTCTATACTTTTACTTAAATAATTTTCTATTTATAACATAATAATAAATACAATTATTGGAAAGAAAAATTAAAGATAGAAAGAAAGATTAATCTAATTAAAAAGAAACTACTTTCAACTAAGCGAAAAAATAAATGAATAGTATATAATTAAAATTATAATAAGATTTATAACATTATGAAAATTCACCATCTTGATTGCGTATACTGTCCAGAATTTCATGCATGCCTCTTCTAAGAGCTTCATTCTCTTCTACAACTAATTGCATTTCTTTTCTAAAATCTTTATCAGTTTTATGATATATCTTAACGAATTCAAAATCAACCATCTGATTTCCACCTGGTTCCAATAATTTAGTCGAATGCAAAAAGTCAGTACTGTTGTCTATTGTATCACTTGAAAAATCTAATTTCTTGGTAGGCAAACGCGATCTATTTGATTTTAGCAATCTTATCTATAAAAATTCAGGAATAAAATTATATATCAATTTACTTCGTTAAATAATTGAATGTGTAGGCGGCAATTATTTGCAGGCAATCTGCTGATTGCCAGTGCATCAATATTATTAAATGCATTAAGATATATCAAATATTTTTTTTTAAAACTTACACTTGATTTCATTTCGAGATTTTCATCTATTAACATTTTATTTTGTTGAATAAGCTCTTGCATCCTTTTATCTTCTTCTCTACGTTTTTTCAAAATATTATCTATGGAAATTGATTCGTCCTCTGGAATTCCTAATTTTTGTCTACAAAATAATAATAATAATAATAATAATAATAAAACTTTATGGTAGGTAATATCATTCTAGAAAAATGTTTATACGTTAAACATATAAAAATACCTTAAAGCTAAAATTTCCATTTCTTGATAAGAGTTTAACATTTCTAACTTATTAATAACATTAACAAGATCTTTAATATGTTCTCTTTTATGATTTAATTCACTTTTTAATTTATTTGTTTCATCTAATGCTTCTTTTAATCCCTGATTTCCATTTTCGTACTTTCTCAAAATTGATAATATTTCACATAACTAAAAAACAAAAACAAAAACCATAATTAAAAAGCTCAATGCTAATTTAATCAAATTTAATTTTCATAAAAGCAGATTAGATAAAAACAACTAACTTCGCCACTTTTTAATTTTAAATCCTCCTGCGCTTGATCTAATTCATTCTGTAAATTGGATATTTGATTATTTGCTTCTTGCATTTTTTTTATTAACTCCTTTTGTTCTTTTCTCTTCTCTTCTTTTTCTAATCTGGACAAATATCGCAATATAATAACAATTTTAGAAATTAATTACATTTTCACACATACGATGATTTAAAAATGATGTAAATGTAAATTTACATACTTTTTGCTATTTGCTTGTAACTTTTCAATAATAGCAGCCCCTTCATTTATTTCTACAATTGCTTCAGAAAGTTTACTTTGTAACTCTGTTATAATTTTATCACGGTTACTAATCTCTTCATTTAAATATACTATCTGCGATTTATTATTGTCTTCTTTAACCGATGTAACAGATTGCAATAAAGATTGTGATAAATTATCTTTTAAACGCTGTATCTCTGCATCCTTTTCATCTAATAATTCCTAATTATATGAAAATATATGTAATAATAAATGTTTCGATATATTACCTTATTTTTTACCTAATTTGAATAAAATTACTGTATATGTATATCTAAAATTAATTTACCTTCCATTCTGTTATTCTAGAATCTATTGCTATTCCAAATTCATCTATTACTTTATCCCTATCCATTTGTTGACTAGTTAATTCTTCTATTTGATTGAATAAAGCAATATTTTCACGGTCCAATTCTAATATCTTTTCTGAAAACATGATATATTCTTTTATAATACAAATTTATAAAAACTAGTCCAATTTGTCAATGAATGAATTATCAATTTTGCAATTTTGAAACCTTTATATTGGAGCACTTTTGATTGTGCACAACTTAATTCATCAGTCATTTCGTTCATTCTCTCAGTTGCATCCTCCATCTCATCTTTCAACATTTCTAATCGTTCTTTCAAAATAATATTTTCTCTATCTAATCCCTAAAATAATGAAATATATACAATGAAATTATATACTAATTTAGTATATTTAATTTATCATATATTATGTGTCATCTACCTCTAATTCATTCATCAGTTTTTCTATTTTTTCATTTTTATCTTGTATAACAGTCTCATGATTGGCAGTTTCAATAGTATCAGGTGACTAAAAGAAACACACTTGTTTAATTAATTTATCATCTTACAAATTATAATGATTATAGAAGAATATACTATGATTGTTACCTTAATAAAGCTTTTATCTTTGTAATGTAAATCAGATACGTTTTGGCCTGTAATATTAAATCAAAATAAATTAACTTGGTAAATAAAAAGTATAATAATTAGAGATAAAAATATCACCAAATTTATTACCTTTAATTTTCTGTTTAGAAAAATCTGCTTTTAAGGAAGATAAAGTATCTTTTAACTCTCCGCATTCTATAAGTAAAGATTCTACCTAATAAATACAAATAAATTATGTGTTAATAATGATTATAATATAAAATCTTACAGAGATAATTATACCAAAAGGAATATAACATACTTGATTATCTTTATATTGCAACATTTCTTGTGATATTCTCATAAGTGTTTGAAGATTTTTCATGTCAGAAATTTCATCAACATTGCAACGCATTATCGTAGGACATAGATCCTCGATTTCTTCGTCTGTTAAAGATGACACATTTAAAGAAAATATTCGTTCCCAATCTGTTCTAACCATCTTTCTTTGTTATATTGTATTAGTTGAAAAAATAATTTTTCTTTAATTTTACATATACGAAGTTAAAAGACTTCTGAACACAATACTTTGCAATGCTTAGTAACCATGACAACCAAATAGAAACAAATCTCCCCGCCTTTTTGAATGCAACACTATTTAAACAAAACTCAGTCGATAAAATTGAAAAATTAATAATGACGAAGAATATAGAAGTACATAGAAACTCAAAAGGCCACTTTTTTACCTAACTAGATTAATCAACTTACATAGGTTAGTTATTAACGTGAAGTGAGTCCAATGAGCGATAATAGCTAGAATACCTATTAACGGTACAATTCTTTCTACCTACTATCTGTACTTACTATCGCCCACTGGTGGTCGCGGTAGTAACTAGGATAAATCCAGTTAAACAAAAAATAGTTTTATGAGCTTTCATGTACTTATGTGTTTTTTTGATAATGTCAAATCATTGTGCGTTTGGTTAATTGTTTGAATGATATAAATTGTAATTGTATAGTAAATATTTGTAATATATTTGCTATCAAAAATGAATATTTTTAAAAGACTTTTTTTATTCAATAAATCTATAAATAATATACCAAAATTTCTAACCTCTGAATCTAAAAATGCAGAAAATGGTAAGATTTCATCATAATATCAACAAATAATATATCTAACATATAGATATGTAAATAAATGTTTAATTTTTTTTTCTTTTTTATTTAGAAAAAAATATTATCGTTAATAAAACCGGTAATGTTACTTTGATTGCTATAAATAGGCCAGAAAAGAAAAATGCGTTGAATACTGCAACAACCCAATTACTGTGCGATGCATTGGACGAATTTGAAAAGGATGATAATGCTGCTGTAGGTGTATTGTATGGTATGGGAGGAAATTTCTGTGCAGGCTTTGATCTACATGAAATTGCAAATAGTGAAGGGAATGAAAATAAATTACCGCAATTTGGAGCACTGGCAAGTTAATATATTTCTTTTTAATAAATATTTTATCTATACTATTAGAATATTTTTTAATTTTTCTTAATTCTTTAAAACTCAAAGGCTAGTAGAAATGAGTTGACCAGTAAACCATTAGTAGCCTCGTTAAATGGATATGTGGCAGGTGTTGGACTAGAACTGGCATTAATGTGTGATATACGAGTCATTGAAGAAACCGCAGTTATAGGATTTTTGAATAGACGTTTTGGAATACCTATTCTATGCGGAGGTACAGTTCGTTTACCAGCTATGATTGGATATGCTAGAGCTATGGATATGATTTTAACAGGAAAATCTATTACCGGAGAAGAAGCTTTCAATATTGGACTTGCTACTAAACTCACCACGTGTGGTACTGGTTTAGGTCAAGCGGTCAATTATGCAAAATCTTTGGTAAAGTTTCCGCAACAGACTTTACTGGCAGATCGTACCTCTATGCACTATGCTACTTTTCTGGCTAAACAAATGGAAGAGGCATTGCAATTTGAAAAGGACAATGCCTCTCATCTTTTAATAGAAGAAGGTATAGAAGGAGCTAAGAAGTTTGTCGAAAAAGGCATAGGCAAACATGGAAAATTTTATAATCTCACTGAACAAGATGATACTATCAGAGAATTAGATAAAAATCTCTTATGAATATCAAACGCATTAGATTTATTTATTCTTTTTTTTTTTTATGTCTCCAATCAAAATATTAAATCTTACAATTCATTTAAAAATAAGTAACATTTGTAATCATTATTTTTGTGCGCTTTTCTTCTGGCGAATTCTTTTCAATATTTCCGTACATTTCTTTCCTGTTTTTGTATTTAAAAGAGGTACTAACGTTGTAACTTCGTTATTATGACCTATGTACAATATGTTATCATGAAACAATAGATTAATATAGTAGATAATACTGCAAAATTTACTTGCGAAAGTAACTACGAAATATGTGTTATTTGGTTGAAGAAAGTGTAAACATGAAGTGGAAGGTTCAGCTATAGATAAGTTCCTTAATTGACTATTAATTTCGTCACAAAAATCGATTGTACCTAAGAATTTATACCTTTTTAGGATCTAAAAAATAATATTATCTAAGTCATCATTTAAAATATTAGTTACATCCTTTATCCAATCGAATGACTTGCCGAACGTAATCTAATATAAGTCCAATAGGACAGTCAACGTTCACTAAGATTTCCTTGTCGGTACATACTGTTTCAACGTCTTTATCATCATCAACATCATCATTACTTCTGGAAGCATATTCTAAACAATTCCACTTTCATTAATAATAAATCACCTTTATATTACCATAATAAATTACCATGATATTTCACTTTTATTATACTCATATCGAATTAAGAATAAATTAACAATTTATAATTGTGAAGTTGTCAACGATAGATTGGATCTGCAATTGTTTACAATTACATTTAAAGAACGAGTTAATCTCTAAAGGAATCCCTAATCTTATAATAATATAATTATAATTTTAGGGATAATTTAAGGAAGTTTTTTTTTTACCTCTTAAAAAACTAAATTGATATATAAAAGGTAGGTGTACGTTAGAAAATTAATTGAAAAGATTATCTGAAATTAACGGGACAACAAAATACACAAGTCAAAGAAAGTTTTGCATCGCCTCGGTTCCAAAATCTCTCCTGAACACAAACATTGACTGATTTCATTGATGTCACTATGAACATACAACATAATACCCTCAGTGTAATACCCCATATACTATCCTCGTAGTGTAGGGTATTTCTGACAAGTTTTTAGGGTAGAAGTTGATAACTGATTCATACAAGAGGGGTGGTAAACTGAAAGTGACTACTCATTATTATCAAGAATGATAAGAAAAATCCAAGAATACTGAAACAATGAAAGATTTTTGAATGCACTGTTCTTATTATACTTACATTTAGAAGAAACCATATGCAGTTCTATTCTATCAGAAGATTAGCAGAAGGAATGCATCCTTGCTTATTCCAAATTAAGAAAATAAATGGCAAATACATTATATTGCAAAACTTTATTCTTGTACAAAATCTTTTACCAGGTTTTCTAAACGATATAGGAAGATATTATTGTTTATCGACTGTCAAGAAAAATTTATGTATTTATATCAATTAATATCTTATTTGCAAGGAATTCCATGTGAAATATTATGGGAATAGAATGCAGCTGCTCCTATTAAAAATTATCTAGACAATAATATGTTAAGAGGTAAATATAATCATTTAGTTTGAAGAAGAAGTAAATATTATAATCTATTAAAATCCACTTACTTTTATTATATAAAAATTGATTGGGGAGTTGCATTTATTTTTAATCAATTAATAAAAACATATTGTGTGTGTGTAGGTAATCTATATTTTATTACCGACAGGTAACAAATGTTTCGCCATCTAGTGGTACTAGATATTACTTCATTGTACCGACTAGTAAAATTAGGCTGCCATCTTGCGGAAGTAAATGTTACTATGACTAAACGACTACTAGAATATGTTTCGCCATCTAGACAAAAGACAAAACATCACTAGGATAAAATCAAGATGGCTACCTGTCAATGTACTTTGAATACCGTAAATACCGGCTATGTGCAGTGTAAAGTATTTAATTAAAAAAATCCTTTTAGTGATGCAATAATCAAGTGAATAATATTTTTTATTTATAATAATTCGTTTCATATTC